TATTAATACTCACATTCCTCGAGGCACTGGCTGAGGAGGTGGAGTGGCAGCCAGATATGATTCAAGTGTTTTAATGGACCCTAAACCTAAACTAAATTATAATTCATTTGAAAGCTTTGTTCTTAGTCTTTCTCACCCAAACTGGAAAACACTGCAGCCAGTTATATTTGTTATAGTGTACCGCGCTCCTGGACCGTACTCTGATTTTATATCTGAATTCTCAGAGTTTTTATCAAGTTTAGTCCTTAAATCAGATAAAGTAATTATTGTAGGTGATTTTAATATTCATGTGGATGTTAAGAATGACAGCCTTAGTAATGCATTTATATCATTAATAGACTCAATTGGCTTCTGTCAGAGTGTAAATAAACCAACTCATTGTTTTAATCACACTCTTGACCTTGTTCTATTTTATTTATATAGCGCCAATTCATAACAGAAGTTATCTCAGGACACTTTTCAAATAGAGCAGGTCTAGACCGAACTCTTTATAACATTATTTACAGAGACCCAACAGTACCACCATTAGCAAGCACTTGGCGACAAGGGCAAGGAAAAACTGCCTGTTAAAAGGCAAAAACCTAGGACAGATCCTTCGGCTCTAGGTGGGTGGTCGTCTGTCTCGACCAATTGGGGTGAGAGAGAGAAAGAGACAGAGAGACAGACAGACAGACAGGTGCACAGTAACAACAGTATTGGCAATGGCAGTCTAGCAGGACCATGGCAGGAGGCTCCACCAGGATCGATAGGAACCTGCGAGACGAGAAAGCACAAGAACTCCGGGGAAGAAGTGAAGTTAGTAACATGCATTAATTGGACATGAATGAGTGCAGAAAGAGAGAGGAAGAGAGGAGCTCAGTGCACCATGGGAAATCCCCCGATAGTCTAGGCCTATAGCAGCATAACTAAGGGATGGTTCAGGACTCACCTGATCCAGCCCTAACTATAAGCTTTATCAAAGAGGAATGTCTTAAGCCTACTCTTGAATGTGGTGAGGGTGTCTGCCTCCCGAACCACAACTGGAAGCTGGTTCCACAGGAGAGGAGCTTGGTAACTGAAGGCTCTGGCTCCTGTTCTACTTTTAGAGATTATAGGAACCACAAGTAGCCCAGCATTCAGTGAACGTAGTGTTCTAGAGGGGTAATAGGGTATTATGAGCTCTTTAAGATATGAAGGGGCCTGACCATGAAGAGCTTTATAGGTGAGGAGGAGGATTTTAAATTCTATTCTACATTTTACAGGGAGCCAGTGCAGAGAAGCTAGTACAGGAGAGATGTGATCTCTTTTTCTAGTTCCTGTCAGTACTCGTGCTGCAGCGTTCTGAATTAATTGGAGCGTTTTCATTTTTAAAACTTTATTGGGGCAACCTGATAATAAAGAGTTGCAGTAATCCAGCCTTGAAGTAACAAATGCATGGTTTAGTTTTTCTTCATCTGTCTGCGATAGGATGACTCTATCGCTCCTATAAAAATGAAATTATTAAAACATAGGAGACTAGCACTGTGGTACAACCACCAAACCCGCCAGTTAAAGCAAATAGCTAGGAAATCTGAAAGGAAATGGCACTCTTCCAAACTATCAGAATATCAATCAATTTGGTAAGATAATCTTAAAATTTATAGAAAGGCCCTCCGTAATGCCAGAGGAGCCTATTACTCAGCACTAATAGAAGAAAATAAGAACAACCCTAGGTTCCTGTTCAGCACTGTAGCCAGGCTGACAGAGAGTCACAACTCTATTGAGCCACATATCCCCATAACCTTAAGTAGCAACGACTTCATGAGCTTCTTTTATAATAAAATTATTACTATTAGAGAGAAAATTAATCACCAACTGCCATCAACAGCTATCAGTGGCTCTCCAAATTCAGGGACTTTTACTAATGTAAACTCAGATATATATTTAGACTGTTTTTCTGCTATTGATCTTCATCAGTTAACTTCAATAATTTCTTCATCGAAGCCATCAACCTGTCTATTAGACCCGATCCCAACTAGGCTGCTTAAAGAAGTTGTTCCCTTAATTGGCACTTCTTTACTGGATATGATTAATCTTTCTTTATTATCAGGATATGTACCACAGTCCTTTAAAGTAGCTGTAATTAAACCCCTTCTTAAAAAGCCCACTCTTGACCCAGGGGTTTTAGCCAATTATAGACCAATCTCTAACCTTCCCTTCCTCTCTAAGATTCTGGAGAAAGTAGTCGCCAAAGAGTTCTGTGACTTTCTACATAACAATAGTTTATTTGAGGATTTTCAGTCAGGATTTAGAGTTCATCATAGCACAGAGACAGCTCTGGTTAAAGTTAATAATGTCCTTCTGATTGCTTATCTGACTTGTGTCTGTACTTGTACTATTAGATCTTAGTGCTGCATTTGACACCATTGACCATAATATTCTTTTACAGAGACTTGAGCATCAAATTGGCATTAAAGGAACCGCACTAAGCTGGTTTAAGTCATATTTATCAGATCGTTCGCAATTTGTACATGTTAACGATGAATCTTCAATAAGTACTACAGTTAGTCATGGAGTTCCACAAGGTTCTGTAGTTGGACCAATACTATTTACTTTATATATGCTCCCTTTAGGCAACATTATTAGGAATCACTCCATTAACTTTCACTGTTATGCAGATGATACGCTGTTATATCTATCGATCAAGCCCGATGAAATTAATCAATTATCTAAATTACAAACATGTCTTAAGGACATAAAATCCTGGATGAGCTGCAATTTTCTGATGTTAAACTCAGAAAAAAACGAAATTCTTGTTCTTGGCCCCAAAAACCTTAGAGATTCACTGTCTAAAGATATAGTTACTCTAGATGGCATTACCTTGGCCTCTAGCACCACTGTCAGGAATCTTGGAGTTATCTTTGATCAGGATTTGTCATTTAACTCCCACATAAAGCAGACCTCCAGGACTGCCTTCTTTCATTTACGTAATATTACAAAAATTAGACATATCCTATCACAGACAGATGCAGAAAAACTAATCCATGCATTTGTTACTTCAAGGCTGGATTACTGCAACTCTTTATTATCAGGTTGCCCCAATAAGTCCATTAAAACGCTCCAATTAATTCAGAACGCTGCAGCACGAGTACTGACAGGAACTAGAAAAAGAGATCACATCTCTCCTGTACTAGCTTCTCTGCACTGGCTCCCTGTAAAATGTAGAATAGAATTTAAAATCCTCCTCCTCACCTATAAAGCTCTTATGGTCAGGCCCCTTCATATCTTAAAGAGCTCATAGTACCCTATTACCCCTCTAGAACACTACGTTCTCTGAATGCTGGGCTACTTGTGATTCCTATAATCTCTAAAAGTAGAACAGGAGCCAGAGCCTTCAGTTACCAAGCTCCTCTCTTGTGGAACCAGCTTCCAGTTGTGGTTCGGGAGGCAGACACCCTCTCCACATTCAAGAGTAGGCTTAAGACATTCCTCTTTGATAAACCTTATAGTTAGGACTGGATCAGGTGAGTCCTGAATCATCCCTTAGTTATGCTGCTATAGGCCTAGACTATCGGGGGATTTCCCATGGTGCACTGAGCTCCTCTCTTCCTCTCTCTTTCTGCACTCATTCATGTCCAATTAATGCATGTTACTAACTTCACTTCTTCCCCGGAGTTCTTGTGCTTTCTCATCTCGCAGGTTCTCATGGATCCTGGTGGAGCCTCCTGCCATGGACCTGCTAGATTGCCATTGCCAATACTGTTGTTGCTGTGCGTCTGTCTGTCTGTCTGTCTGTCTCTCTCTCTCTTTCTCTCTCTCCCTCTCTCTCACCCCAATTGGTCGAGACAGACGACCACCCACCTAGAGCCGGAGGATCTGTCCTAGGTTTCTGCCTTTTAACAGGCAGTTTTTCCTTGCCCTTGTCGCCAAGTGCTTGCTAATGGTGGTACTGTTGGGTCTCTGTAAATAATGTTATAAAGAGTTCGGTCTAGACCTGCTCTATTTGAAAAGTGTCCTGAGATAACTTCTGTTATGAATTGGCGCTATACAAATAAAATTTAATTGAATTGAACTGACACAGCTCAAATCTTGATCGTACTTGGCAGTCGAGTTAACTTTAGTCTTCATGACGGCACAGCAACCAAGGAAACTAAAAAAGTAGTAAGAATTATTACATCATAACACCAACATTCTAATGCTGCACCAGTTCTATTGAAGCCTATGAGAGATTCTTGGAGAAGCCCACTAAAACCCAACATATCAATGTTTTGTGAATTTCGATGAAAAGAACTGAGACTGAGAGATCCCTCAACGAAATGAAAGAACAGACTAGGCATGAGACGGAAATTTCATGTCATGAATACCTTGGCCAAAATAATCGTAATACACAATATTATCACAATAATCATGAAAATATACTTTGTTCTTTTAAAATGCCACTAAAACATACTGAAATCACTGTACTTTATTATTATTATTATTATTATTATTATTAATAAATGTTGGAGACCAACAGCAAATAAATGAAAGTGCACATTAGGAAAATGCTTGTGTGTTCTTTCATTTGGAAGATGCATCTCTTTATCAAAGGTCACACCAAAGTCTGGCAGCAAACAGCATTAGAATGTTGGAGTTGTGACGTAATGACCCTTCCTTCTTTTTTTGTTTTCTTAGCCCATTAGCCAATTAGCTTTTTATAATGTTTAATACAAGGTATTTCTTGTTTGGTCTGACAATTCATCATCGACAGAAATGTTAACTGACTGTCTGAAAGTTATCTTTCTTCTTCTTTTTCTGAGTGATTAGGTGTCACTCGGCCATCTCGTATGTCAAGTCTGGACATTGCTGTCAACGCACAGCTGCTTAGTCACAATCCAGTCTGCTAGCCGTATGTTAGCGCGGAGCTAACGTGAACTAACGTGAACTAACGTTATAACCTACCTCAAGCTAAAGATGCAAGCTACCACACTAAAGCTTAAAGCTGTAACAGCTAAGAGACCGACAGTCACTGGTCACGGTTGCTTTTAAATGGCTGTTCTTACCTTCGGACGTTAATCTGCAGAAAGGCCTCAGCAGCTCAGCAAAATTTAGGTTGTTCTTGCGAGTCACTCTCTCCGCTTCTTCACTACATAAGACGGCCACCATAGGGACAAACGAGTCCTGAACGAACTCCTGCACAGACTGAACACACTGGGCCATGGTGGACTACCGTCAAAAGCAGCAAGCACACAGAACCGAGTCAATTGTCCTACAATTTGAGAAGCCCGGATTACTTCATTGCTTAAAACAACTCCTCCTCTATTTGCAGACAACAGCCATGTTGAATTCACGAAGCCACTTCCTGTGTAGAGCTGAGACAGTCATGTGATGCCTGACATTTCCATATATATATATATATATATATATGTGTGTGTGTGTGTGTGTGTGTGTGTGTATATGTTCAAGGTCTGGATAGCTTTCTTAATTTTGCAGTCCCTTTTAATGTTAAAAGGGACTGCACTTATGCAGTTTTCCAACCACTCAAAGCATTTTACACTGCATGTCAAATTTACCCATGCATACCCATACCCCTAACCCTAACCCACTTATGGCACAGCAGGTTCAGTATCTCAGTGATTCCCAACCTTTTGCCTTTAGGGATCCCTTTTCTATTGTTGAGTAAACTGATCACCGCTGACTAAGTGACATTTTATGGATATTACATATTATATTCAATAAGAACAGTACAGAACAACTGATACTGTACAAATGTACATAACTCAAAATAGTGAATGCAGGAAGTTTGTGTAAAACAAGAAATTTGAATGCATTTTAAGCAGATTATTTCCTGTGTATACTGCATCAGAGATGAGTTTTCCTGCTAATTTCAGGGAACTGTTATGATTCTCTGTCTACATTTTTAAAACATTTTTAACAATCAAACATACTTCACAGATTTTCTTTTGACAAATTGTGTGTTTTCTCCTCAATGTTCCTTTAGCTCTTTTCTCTCTTTTAACGGTATACTTTTTTTTTTTTTACTGATGTTTTAGTGAATGCTGAAATATAGGATTAGCCTAATATATATATTTAACCCGCCATGAAGCTTTGGCAACGCCTAGAGGGGGTCCTGACCCCTACGTTGGGAACAACCAGCGCTCAAGGCAGGGGCGGTGATTTTTCTCAAACGCCTCGAATCTTTAAGGGTAGAAAGGGAGCAGCAGTGTTGGGCAGTAACTTATTACTAGTAATAATATTACTTTACCTGTAACTAGTAGTGTAACTAATGACTAATACATTTCAGTAATAATAGTACAGTTACCCTGCAAAAATTAGTAGTTACAACATTACTTTAGTTGTCACCCCCCTACTTCTTTGAAATCCAAGAATGCAATCATATCATTTCTGTAATTGTGGAGGAAACTAGCTTGCAAGATGGAAACGCTTAGATTCAATGGCTGGAAATATTCCATTACTTTGATTTTAACAAACAAAATTGGATTTCAGTCATCCTAAGTCATGGGGCACATTTACCAACTTTGTGGTAGGTTTCAAGATTAGTAATGCTGCAAATTCCTATCCTACCTATGTTATGTAACTTAAAAACAATAACATCAGACAATTTTGTCTTTTTTTAGTGGCAGTAGTGAAAAGTGTTGCTCAATTCCTGAGCAATTATTATGATAGTGCACATAGCTGCTGAAATGCGGAAAAAACTCTCCCCAGGGGAGCATGCCCCCAGAGCCTCCCAGGTTTGGGTTAAGCCCCAAATATTTACAACGTCTGTCTCTGAAGGACATTTCAGCATGCAAAATTTCATTTTCAAAAATCAGAAAAAGATGTTTCATGAAAATGCCAGACATTTCCTTTGAGCTGTGGCTCAGGGGTTGGGGCATGTTGTCCACTAAGCAGATGGTTTGAGTGGTCAAAAGACAGAAGACTAGCTATATAAGTACAGTCCATTTACCATTTAATCTTAAAAAATGCACACGTATAACTGTCCATATTTACCACAGTGGGGTACCAAACCACACAAGTACCAAATCAACATCAGACACACATCCACTCCATTTGCTAAATCCTCTAATAAGGCAAGTGTGGCCATTGCCTGCATTATTCCAAACAATCTGAAAGTGTGCTTTTCCATCAGATTTTACTGGAATTATCCTAAATTTCTCCTCTGTGAACTTTAAGTGGTAGTACCTGTGTTGACTCATTTCAACGATTAATGCTGATGACGTTGACAGTTTGCTTGTCGTTGTTACCTTTTCCACAAGGGGTATACGTATGCATACATATGGTCAGGAGTGCTTCTAAACTCCAACATACAATATGATGTTACAAAGCATTGTTATGCAGCATACAAACATATGAAGACCTGAACTGTCACACAGTTTTCGCTGAAAATGCAATCAGCAATGACTGTCTGGGCTTAAATGCTCATAAGCATCATATAACCATGTAAGTCATGTTTAAGTTCTTTATTGTCAAATGCACAACAATTACAGTAAAGCTGTCATTGAAATTCTTTCATTCTCTTCCAGTCAAATGTCAACACAGATGTAATGAACTCTTTCTGACAAACCACAGAAATGGTGTTTCATCTCTGTCTTACACTTTAATACAATATCAGCACTGTAGAAAGCTTATATACAATACAGTAAATACAATTTGGCACATCGTGAGTAAAGGGTAATAAAAGGGACAACCAAACATAGTTAAACAACACTGCATGGAAGAATACAGACACTGCTTAATGTTTTACAGGTATAATGGGAGTAATGTGAAAGTGTGCTGGGGTTACTTGATGTTGCGTAAAATGCGGCGAGCATGACTGGTTTTCATGGTAGCCAGAGCTGCCTCCAATGTGGAGATGAGGTGCAGGAGGGTGCTGGGGTCTGTCTGGAGAACTCTGCTGCTGCTGTCACGACCTCTCTTCAGGAGAAGACGCATCGTCACCATGGGATTGATTTGCTGACGTACTGAGCGACTCGCCAACTAGCAGGAAGGAGTGGGGAAGGCCGCATTAAGAAGTGACAGGGAAACAAAGAGGAGAATTCAGATCTGGACATTGATAAATGGAACATTTACAGCTCAGAGTGCTAAAAACATAAAATGTATGAGCACAGATTATATACCAGTCAGTTTGTAGTGTGCCCTATGTTCCTCCTTTCCACATTCCATACCTTTTTACCATGTTTTATCGCCCATAGGGGAATCCAAGAGGGCACTTTTGTGGCCACCAGTGAACTGATGTGTCTGATCTTGGTAAATATTTAACTGCAAAACTACGAAGTACACATAAAAGACTGCACTTAGCAGAATGTAACCAACAAACATATTCAGCTACTATATTATCCATCTGATTCCACAGCAGTTCCATACACACATGAACACACACACCTGTACATCCAGTCTCCACTCCAGGTTGTGATAGGCAGGCAGGCTGGGGGGCAGCTGACTCAGAATGCTGCGGATCTGACTGTGGTGCTGTAGGTAGATCTGCAACAAAAACCCTCACACACTTAGCTGGAGTGCAGTGAACATACTGACTGAGTCAACAAGTACACTGCTCAGATCATCTCAGATAAATAAAACAGATTAACAGTCACCTGTAAGAGGATCTGGTTAAGCTCTAGACCAAAACCCAAAACCAACACTGAGTCGAGGAAATCCACTTCCGAGATCTGCATGAACATGAACACACACACACACACACACACACACACACACACACACACACACACACACACACACACAAAAAAGATGCATTTCAGTGCAACTACAAACCTTAGGGTTGATGACAAAAATTTGTCAAAAACTAGACACTGATGGTGCAGGGCTGTATTGTACCTCTTTACATAGGCATGTTTTTCTACAAAAAATGTTTTGCACTGGTCAGGGGGAATTACTTGGCTACAAAAATACATTAGACAATACAAGTGTGTCAGAATGTGAGTGAATCACCATGTGTTTGGAGCTCTCTGTCATCAGGAACATCAGGCCTTCCACTCCATGCTGCACCATTTCCACAGGAACACACAGCTTCCCTGCAAGTAGTGGGTCATTATAAACGAACTTTCAAGTCCTGTTAGGTGATACATACGTAGGTGTCAATAGCTGAATTATGTGTAGTAACAACCTTATCCAAGTATGACAATATGAAAATAACTGAATTTCGTATATACACCGATCAGACATAACATTATTACCATAAATGTTTTGAAAACATCTGTGATTCTGTTTTAAACCATTTTGCCCATGACTAGTCCCCTGTCCGCAGTGTCAACTAGTGCTTTAAGCAGCAGTCAGTCAGGTGCTTCATAAGGATTATGAAATGAAAGGTGGAGAGTCTTACTGGCTGCTCCTTCATAGATCTTGGGACTGGTTCCTCTCCTTAGGAATTCCAGCGCTATGCGACCAAACTCTCCAACCACTAAGGACAAAAAACACATGGAGATACATGCATGCATGGAGTCCAGCCTCATTACATGAAATAAGAAAACTCATCTGGAAGACGAGCTGTGGGATGTAACTGAGCCTGACACAGTTTTGTTGTAGACCGAAATTGAACATTAACAGTCCCCTCTGGAGGGAGCTCTTTTTAACCTTGAGCCAGGTCTACATGTTGGTGCAAACTGTTGAGGAGGTTGTGGTGCTAAGTTGTGAATGATCTATGTTGACGTATACTAAACCAACATTGAACAAAAATAGATGTCAACTTTGAAAACAGGGTGTACTTCTTAACAATATTACAATAATGATGCAAATTAAATCACCATGACTATCAATTTTTGCTTATACAGACTGTGAAGTCATTAATGTACTATTTGTCTCTGACCAGGTTGTACAACACTATGTAAAATATGACAGTATCATTGCCTGCATGTACAGTTTTGCATCTGTACTAATTTCATTTCTTATAAATCTAAAATGAGCAAATAATCATAATATCCACCTTTTACTACTTTCGTTTAGTTTATTATCCTTCTGTACTTTTACTTGTAATTTAGTAGTTTTTGATTGTAGGCTAGTATTGCTTTTACTTAGGTAACAAATCTGAATTGTCCTTCCACTACTGTGTGTTATAAACATATACCATTAATGATATTGTTATTGAAGTGCAGTGTGGTAGTTCTGAGCTGAGTTAACTTGGAATTTTCCAGTCTTACTCACAAAATGTACACAGAACAAACCTAATAGAGGAGTTTGTCTATAGAGGCTTTCCCTCAGACAGTCCTCTCTTACCACTGTTCTTACATCTGACTGAGATTATGTTACTGATGTACTGATACGGTCTCTTAAATATTTGACCAATAGCACATTCTTGCCAGTGCAGTTGAACAAATTTCTATCTAGTGTTCACACTCACAATCAGCTGACAGTCAGCAGTTAACACTGGAGAACAAGCTGATCTCTTACAGTCATAGTCCTGATCCTCTGTCATATAAAAACCGGTTATTTACCTGCGGTCTCGACCTTCGAGAGGAAGGCGAGGTGCTCTTTGTGGTCTTCAGACAAAACCAGTAACATCCTAAACAACAGTTCAACAGTCAGAAACAAACGTCCCCATCAATCCGGAAAACGATTTGGACGAGCTTCTTCTTCGTCCGTGTCTAAATGCAGCTGCAACGCTTATTATTGCAATACTGCCATCTTCTGGACTAAAACGGCCTGCACACACAGTTGCGGCTGGCACCAGAGATTGCACCCCGCCGGTTACTGGTCATTTCTTCAAGGAATTGGTATTTAAAATTGGGTAGCTGTACTTAACACAGAAATACACAGAAATAATTTGAGATGACAGTAAGCTAAATCCAAGCACTTTTAACGACCTCTCTTTTTCTGAAAATCCAAGCACTTAAAAGATTAAGATTTTTCAGTCCAAGCAGCTTCAAGTACTTTCCAGATCCGTAGCAACCCTGCAAATGACATCCTTGAGATGAATAATATGAAGATTAAATAACCAAAAATGATATCAAATATGTATATGTAAAACATTTATTGAGTGTACAAAATGTTCAACAGTTAACCATAAATGAAAACTGACATTTGACATGGCCCCCCCACCCCCACATGAATAACAGGTCTCCATTTTAGTGAATAAAACTTGGGTGTTCTCTCAATAGAACTATCACAGTCAATATCTACATTGTAGCAGAACTAGTCTTGACCAAGTAACGGTCCCTCCAGATCTTTTTAATTTACACAGCCAAAAGTGAATTTCCAGTGGCTCGTCAGAAAGCTTGTGTTACTTTCAAAAACTCTACCGTGATTATAGTTAAGTTTAAAAAAGCTGCAAAAAAACAAACAAAAAACAAACCAAACAAAACTGATGGTCATGCATAGTAATATGCAACAAAAGGTTCAGAAGGCAAATAACTCTTCCATGTACTTCCAAGGAAGTTGTTGAGTTTGAAGCTTAATTCTTCTAAAATTCTATATTAAATTTAATTTAAAAATTGTGAATTATGTTAAATTTTAAATGCAATTATGTGAACAATAGCAATTTGGTATACATAAAAAACACACCTGCAAGGTCTGGCAGGGATTGGTTGAATTTGCATTAATTGACTGAGATTGAGAAGTCCTGGAGGGACTAAATTACCATCATATAGAAAGCTTGCAATTCCTGTGTTCTACAGATCAATGGTTCTAAACATTTTTGGTGTTAAGGACGCCCAAATTCATACACATCAGGATGCAGACCTGTATTTAATAAGATCTAGTTATTCTATAACTGTCTATACTGTAGATTGGCAGATTAACAGTAAAGAGTGTGAAACATTAACAGAAGTGTTATTCTTATACATTTCTTTGTAAATTAATACAGCCCACATTTTTCTGGGGACTGCAGGTTGAGAACCACTGTTATAGAGCAAATCAAAATCAAATCAAATATTAACTTAGTAGTCACAGGTAGTCTAACACTTCCAGACTTCATGTAACTGAAATATTCAAATTAGAATACCACTAGACAAGAAGTTTCTTCTGCCAATAAAAAACTGAGACGACTTAAAACTCTCAGCAAAACACTATAGGAGTATTGTTCAGTATTGTCTTATTAGAGTCCAGATTTTTTGTTTGTTTGTTTTACCCCTGTAAGGTCATGCACACCAAACCTTAAATCACCCAAGAAATCCTAAACAAAAAGTAGTATGTAAACATGTAAAATCGATTACATAAACAAGAACTATATAGAAAAATAACTAGCAATGTAACACAGCATACAAACACAATAAAAATTAGTTTCCAGATGTCACACAAGTTGTGAGCAAAACTTGTACTTCCAAAATAATGTAAGAGAAAAAAAGCATGATGCAATCAATCAAAAAAAATAAAAATCACCTCATATATCGCATTATGTACTCAAATGTTAGTTTCTCAGTTTACCTTGTGTGTACTCAAAAATGGAGGCAAAGTTATGTCAGTTTAATATTTCAGATTGATAAAGCCTGTCCCAAGGCTTATCTTTTAAGCATATTATTTCAGAGGCCCAGCTGGGGATCAAAACCACAAACCCACATGCCCAATTTGACTCCAGGATGGGGCGTTAAAAAAAAAAAAAAAAAAAAAAAAAAAAAAAAAAAAAAAGGGACTCTCGTCTGCTGTTTGGTTCCATACACTGCTAATTATAGGATTACGAGCTAAAGGCAAGTTTCAGTAAACATTTTTTCCTGTCTCTATACACGCATTTCCTGTTTGACGTCGGCAGCTTCAGCTCATTCTTGTGGGCTAAAGAAGATTGAACATCTAGCAAGCCTGAGAGCCACTTATTTTTCAAAAGTATTGGTGGACTGAATCAGAACTAAAACATTAGTGAACTCACGGTCAACAAGAACACACACAAGCGGTTGTCAGGAATTTGAAAAAAACTCTTCATATCATGACCTGAAAATTTTTGTTGGGCTACTTGGAGGAGTCACTGAATTAATAGCACGTTTTCCATGACACACAACATTTTCTTTGCACTACAGACCACAAAAGGCAGGACGGATAACCTGTTCTCTACTTTATCCACTTCCACTGCTATCAGAAGTCAAAGATTGTCAGTCAAAATGAACCAGTACTGTTTCTGTTTAAGAGTTGGCTGTGCTGGAAGGAGCCCCTACAGGTAATAGCAACAGCTAACTGTGAAACACAGCTTTAATGCAGAACTGGGAGATAGCATCACAAGGGTTCAAACCTTTCCAGCAATGTCTTTCTTTAATTCAGCTCTGCCAAGTTAGACTAAAATCAGATGGACAATCACATGTCATTATCTTTAAACAAAAAGAGAGAAGGAAATGAGGACAGAGACAAATTACAGGGATGGCGGGCCAGCTGGTCATGTAAAGACCAAGGTTTGGAGTTCATCTGTGTGGTCTGACCTCTCAAGTTCAAAACTTGCGACTTGCAAACTAGCAGTCGATTTACAAGCTAAGTTTTGATTGGGGAATTCGGAGAATTCATAATAAAGAAAGACTGCATAATTTCAACAGGCTTTTTGATCAATCTGTAATTTCCACTGCATTCCTATGCAAATATTTCAAAGAAAGACCTACATAGAAAATACAGAGAAAAATAAGGACCTATTGGCCAGAAAAGTCTTGATTTTTGAGGGGGGATTCAATTAAGAGTTGTTCATCATTTGTTCAACACTCAAGTTATTAATAATGTCTATGGCCACACAGCGCAAGTCCTTTACCTTGAGAACTCAAATAACAGGTTCTTTTAGTTGATTTCAGTAGATGAGGGATAAAACCAAAATGTTTACCGCAGAAGAATGAATGACATCCGGTGGAATGAATCACTGACATGTAGGTACAAGTACTATTAGTACAGGTGGGAATATTCAGCTGCAACTCCACAGTTTGACTGAATATCTGGATCCATCATATTTGCCTGAGCCACAGACATTGGCTATAAATTGTTAGGGAAAGGATTCATATTAAAGCAGGTCCAGAAATGTGGAGGGCAGTAAAAACAGTCCATTAGTCCAAAAATTGTTATATTGTCTTGAACAATAAAAACACCAAGATGAGGCAATGGACATGATCATGTCTGGGTAGTTCTAGAGAAAAAATATATATAATGGGGAAGTCAAAGCGGTCAACTATACAGGAAGGCTTCACATGATGGCACACTCTCTGGAGGACACCTTGCCCTGTAGGAGACACAAAACAGTTCAGATAATCATTTAAAGAAACTTTCTATGAGGCATTTATATGGACATTGCAATTTTATTATTACATAATTTGATTCAACACAAATTTTAACAATGTATTGACCCCAAAACATGATACAAACATTTGGCAAATTGGGCAAAACATTTTCGACATTAAAAACATGCACTCAAGTTGCCAGTTTATTAGGTAAAGCTAAACTAAGCTCTGCTAAAACTAATGCAGTATAATACTAGGGATGTGTGTGTTTAGTTAACTAGTCAGTTAAACAATGCAAACTTGCTACCTTAGTTGGTTAGAGAAATACTGGTCATTCAAACTATTATTTATATTTCATAGGGTTAGGGTTAGCGTTATCCTGCAAGGACAGCAGGCTGCTGGCGCTAGCGCTAGTAACATTAGTCATCCTCAGCAAAACAACATGAGATAGAACTTGAGAAATTGATCATGCTGCCATGGGTTAGACACAAATTTGATTAGTTGCCTACTGGAAGGAATGAAGTCTCTGATCAGCATAAATGAGGACATCAAAGTGCTCCTTGCGTTATAAAGACACAGCTTTACCAGGGACTTCAATAAAACATCATTTGGATTCCATGTCTTGCCAAATTTCCCACACTCAGCTACCAATGCAAAACATCTCTCACAATTGACGTACTGAAGTAATTTTCTGTACTGGCTATCATTGTACTTTTTAACCACAAGATGCCAGTATTGCACTGTGATTGCCGGTACATACAACTACTGTAAAAATCATAATATTGGCTGAATCTCTAATATAGGCATAGTCAGAAGTTTGCTGTGTAGGGCACACCGCTAATGCATGTAGATGTCTATGAGCTAATTGTTGACTAACACTGCAATGCACCTCTACTGTTGGTCACTCTTTCTGAATTGCCATGTAATGGAATTGAGGGCTAATTATTTTTGGTTGATACAAAATATATCATAAACAGTGGGAGTCATGAAGAAGAGATTCTCAGACACAGGACACCTGAGACCATTAGACATTCAGTGTGACAAGCGTGTAGGTGTAAACTACTTTTGTTTTCAGGTTTTAGTCTTCTAGACACTATAGAAATGGGCATTATTGACAGTGTTACCAAATAATTCATTTAATTGACTGATGAACTTCCCTTTCTTTCAGTCAATTAAATGAATTATGTGTGGTATGTGCAAGTGAAAATACAAAAATATCATACTACTCACCAGAACAAGTTACGTTCGAGTACGTAAAGGGTGAACAAAGTAAAGAGACATAAAATGAAATGGGGGAACTTGCTTTTTGTATACTTATACAGGTAAATCTGGCAAGAAAAACAAGTATACTTACTGTTTGTGCCACTTCCTCCTCTTCCTCTCCGTTCTCTACCTCCACCTGAGTCTTGGTTACACTCCTTCTGGCCACCTCCTGCAAGACAGTCAGCCCACATGAAACAAAACAAAAACACTAAGCTTAAGTGCCCCCAGCAAGCATAATAAAGGGCAACAACATTCAATATGGAAAATGTGTTGGTCAAAACAAGGACACATAACACATAACTGGTCATGCATGGATGTCTCTACCTCGCCGTCAGTGTTGATTAAAGTGGTAACTATGTCATTTCCTGTTCCCCAGGAAGTCTGGCTCTTCCACAGCAAGTCAGATGGTGGACTGTGGGCCACACCAGCATCAGCAGACCACACCTGTATAAGTACAGTTCAGGCAAATACATTGAAGAAACTGCTTATTGAAGAAACTCTGCTTAATAACTTTACAGAAACCTGCTCATGTCAAATTTTATCAATAACATACTATTGTCAGTCATTTTGTGCTGCTTCACATTGACTTTCATAATGCACATTTTACATTAAAATGACATATACAAAGAGTGAATTTGCTTATATGTATATTAACTGACTGTAGTCAGCTGGACAGGCGTCAAAATTAAATATGAATAATTTGTTCTTATTCTTTGGTACAAAGTAGGTCAAATTGAAACTGTTCAGCTCTGAGGATTATCCTGAATGAGGTTGTGGTTGGAAAAACATATTGCTGTTTCTTTTTACAAGGACAGCACTTGCTCACGAAGTTGTATTTTTTACAGAAAGGTTTAGTATTGATATATTTAACCAATTTTATTCCTACTTTCTTAATAACGCAGGGTTCATGATGAAGTGTCCCATTCATGTAGGTTGTCAGTGTTTATTGGACACTTATAGATCGCTTTTGTTGGGTTTACATAGGCAATCTTAGTAAGGGGCTAAAATACAATTCAAAATTCCTAGCAGAAATCTGTAATATACTGTGAGGGTGGCAGCGCCTCAGAGGTAGAGCAGGTCATCCACTAATCAGATTGGCAGTTCGCTCCCCGGCTCCTCTTGCTGCATGTCGAGTTATCCTTGAGCAAGATACCGAACCCCAAATTGCTCCTGATGCTGTGCATCAGTGTTTGAGTGTATGAATGCTTAGTTTCGCTGCCATCAGTGTGTGAATGTGCGGATGGGTGAGTGGTGTAATGTTGTGAGAAGTAGGTGGTATTCCTTTAAGAGACTGAGGAAGTCATGTTTGTGTTTACAGTCTGAGTTAGTTGCGCAGAGTGAGGATGCGACATGTTACTTGTGACAGTGCAATGAGAGTTTATTAAAGCTTCAAGTCCAAATCTATAAAAGAGTGAGGACATTGCATTTCTACAATGGCGACGAGGATGCTGCGCAATTGTTGTGAACGAATCCACGCAACGGAGTTGTTACTTCCTGCACACGACCACTTTGCCTGCTAAACCACAGGAGAGCCACAGTGCTGCTAACGGACTCATGAGTAGATGGTCAAGTGAAAAAAAAAAAAACAAACAAATGCAAAAACCTCTTCGGAGCAATTCTTACGAACTGAACTCTCATCTTGGAAGCTCTGTGAGACGTCGCTCAGCACTACAGTCAAGAAAGGCGTGCTAATACCAAAAACAAAAACAACACGAAAACTAGCAACAACGAGACACACATGGACATACCTGGACAGTAGTAATTCCGAAAAGAAAAAAATAATAAAACAGAGAAACAAAACTACAACAACAATGGCTGGCGTGGCTGAATTACCCTCATTCCCGCTCTTTGATGTAAATGCAGAACCAGCCTCCCTTTCCCTAACATGGAAAAAGTGGATGAAGAGATTTGAAACGTTTCTCACTGCAGCTGCCATAACTGAGAGAACAAGAAAAAGGGCTATGCTTCTGTACTATGCTGGAGAACAAGTGCAGGATATCTTTGAGACTTTTCCTGAAAAAGGACAACCAGATGATTTTGATAAGGCAGTACAGTTACTCACCGAATACTTCAGTCCAAGTCATAATGTAGAATACGAAATCTACATATTTCGACAATCAAAACAAAACCCAGGTGAAGCTGTTGATGCATTTCATACCAGACTGAGACAGTTAGCTCAGAATTGTGAATTCACTAATGTGGACAAAGAAATAAAGTCTCAGATAATACTCAGCTGCACATCATCACGTCTCAGGAGAAGGGCACTGAGAGACCCAGATATGACTCTAAAAGGACTTTTGGATCTCGCCAGAGCTTTTGAAACCTCAGAACTTCAGGCCTCTGGCATGGAAAACAAACATGAAACGGGACAGATTGCAGCCATGCCCAACACAAGAAACAAAAAATGGACCACCTCTGGGCCCCAAACGGCGAACACAGAACAGCGAAATCAGCCAAAGACGAAATGCAGGAATTGTGGAGGTACATTTCCTCATCAGGGTGGTCAGTCGGCATGTCCAGCGAAAGGCGTCCAGTGTCGAACATGTGGGAAATTCAACCACTACGCCCGCTGCTGTCTCTCTGACCCTGACAAAAAGGTAAAACAAAACCAACATGGACAGAAAATGAAACCAACTCAGAGCACACAAAAGATGACATGGCCTAACCGACGCAGACAAGTTAAAACCATTCTTACTAACGATGCTGAAACTGCCCCCATCAGTCATCTAGCTGCTACTGACTCAAGCACAGACGAGGAGTATGTCTTCGTCACAAAAGATGCAGAGGGCAGAGAACCGCCAGTGAGGTCAGTCATGATAGCTGGTGAAAACATTGATGTTCTTGTTGATTCAGGAGCCTCAGCTAACCTCCTGGATGGAAAAGCCTACAGCACATTGAAAACCAAACTCAAACTTGAGCAGTCAGGCAAAAGAATCTATCCCTATGGTGCAAAAACTCCCCTCTCTCTTCATGGCAAAGCCACCACAACAGTCTCTGCTAATGGACGAACAGCTCAGGCAGCATTCTACATTGTTGACGGAAACTACGGCTCACTGCTAGGCCATGACACTGCAACTGCCCTGGGACTCATACATGTGGTGCACTGCACTCAGACCATACCACGGAACCTGTCTAAAGCAGAACAGCTGCTCCTGCAATATCCAAGTCTCACCTCAGGCATAGGGAAGCTGAAAAACTTTCAAGTTAAACTGCACATTGACCAAAGTGTGCGACCAATCGTCCAGCCCCACCGTCGTATTCCCTTTCACATGAGGAAGAAAGTAGAGGAGGAGCTACAATGCTTGGAGGACCAAGGCATTATTGAAAAAGTAGAGGGTCCAACACCATGGGTGTCATCCATTGTGGAATCACCAAAACCAAAAAACCCAGAGAAAATACGCCTCTGCATAGACATGCGCCTGCCTAATACAGCTGTCCAAAGAGAGAGACACATAGCACCTACTGTGGATGACATCGTACATGATCTCAACGGTGCAACCATGTTCTCAAAGCTGGACCTCAACGCAGGATATCACCAACTGGAACTAGCACCTGAATCCAGATACATCACTACATTCTCAACACATGTTGGACTGAGACGATACACACGACTCATCTTCGGAATTTCTTCAGCAGCAGAGGTTTTCCAACACGCAATCCAAAATGTGCTCCATGGAATACAAGGAGTCAGAAACTTCAGTGATGACATCATAATTTTTGGTACCACCCCTGCAGAGCATGACCGTTCCCTGGAGGAGGTTTTCAAACGACTCCATGACAACAATCTCACGATCAACAGAGACAAATGTGAGTTCCACAAAACATCTCTGGAGTTCTATGGCTACGTCTTCTCAAAGAACGGTATCTCACCTGACCCTAAGAAAATACAAGCCATCACACACATGTCACTCCCACAGAATCCAAGTGAAGTCCGCAGCCTACTGGGGATGGCCAACTACAGCGCACGTTTCTTCCCGGACTTCTCCTCAATCACCCAGCCACTACGCGAGCTCACAAAGAAAGACGCAGAGTGGTCATGGAAAACGGAACATACAGAGGCCCTCAGTCAACTGAAGGACAGGCTGATCAGCAATCCGGTCATGAGCTATTTTCACCCTGAGAGAAAGACAAATGTCACTGAGGAAGTCATGTTTGTGTTTACAGTCTGAGTTAGTTGCCGCTGCATGAGCAGAGTGAGGATGCGACATGTTACCTGTGACAGTGCAATGACAGTTTATTAAAGCTTCAAGTCCAAATCTATAAAAGAGTGAGGACATTGCATTTCTACAAGTGGCATGTAATGTACAGTGCTTTCAGTGGTCGAAAGGCACTATGTAAGTACAATCCATTTACCATTTAAAATTAAGTGTAAGAAAAGTGAAATGTGAAAGTGTTATGGATGAACTGAACCTTTAAGCTGGCTTCAAAATTATGCAAGCAAAGCAAAAATATAATAAATAATAAAAAATTGTAACATTCACTTCCACTTTATATTCCTCACCGTGACTGACTGTCCAGCCTTGAGCACAAACTTTGGAGAGAATTTGTAGATGACCTCGTCCCCATTGTCAACCTGTCTCTTCAACCTCCAGTTGCCCAAAAGTTGGTCCTGCAAAGCACAAGAAAAAAAAAATGCATTAGAGAGACTTTAGTACAAAATGGAGAATTGTATAACTCATCTCTGATTAATAATCTCTTGTTTTACACAAACTGTTATTATGTTCACTGTTTGGGTTCATTGTACAGTTTATCAGTTGTTCTCTACTGTTATTGTTATCATTGAATATAATATGAAATATCCATAAAATATGTCACTTAGTCAGTTTACTTAATGACAGAAAAGGGCTCCCTTAAGGGGAAAGATTGGGAACCACTGATCTAGAGAACAGAAGGGAAGAGAGAGAAAATCATATGTCTAGTGTGTTAGCAAACATTTGCTTCCTTCAGAGACAACTACACATTGTTACACCTAGGGTTTATTTTTGTAGGGTCATTGGTTTTATTGGTCATGATAACATTGTACTCTGCTGAGATCTCAGAATTCTATGACTTTGCTAAAGGTAGCTTCAACAGGGCAAGAAACATGCACGACTGAGACTATATCTGGAGGTGATCAAAAATATCCCTAATAATCCCTCATTGAAAACTGTGTGCACAATTACAGTAAGTAAAGTAGAAGTTGAAGCACAAAGTGGGTACGAGTTTGTTATTTTCCTACCAAATATGTTTGGATAAAATGTTACCATTACTGAAACAATGACCAGAGGGATGAAATGGGAAAGTTGTAATAAACTGTAGTTTTTCTAAAAGGTGTGTACAGGCTGTTACAGGCAGTGTATTCTCTCTAGGGAGCACATGTTAAAGCCCATGTGATAAAAGTAGAGAGACAAGAAGAATGGGGAGGGAAACTAGAGGAAAATAACTGGAAATAATTGGATATCCTAGTTTTTAGATCAACAGAGTTTTACACACACACACACTTTTTGCAGACCTCAGGAGTCTAATTAGTCTTATACCACTCTTACACACCTGCTCCGTATCATTGGTCAGTGTGACTGCATTTCCATCCATGTCAGTGGGTGATATGGTGACTGCTCCACTAGCTGTGGCCTCTTCTGACACCAGCAGCTGCCCCTCTCCTCTTCCCACCTCTGGGACATCCTTGGACTCCACTCTCTTCCTCTTGGAGGAGCGGGAGGAGGAAGATCCTGTTATCCTGGAAACACTGACTCGAGACGATGGGCTGGGGGACAGCTTCAGTCTGAAAGAAGCACACCAGTCACTGGTAAGTTAATGGCTACCTACCACTTCATGACACAGTGGGTCTGAGCTGTCAGAAGTTAGCAGAAAAGACAGTCACTTCCTGCCATTCAAATGAGAATCTAATAATAGCCACTCTCATAATTACATAATGTGAGAATATAAGTGAATATCACTGCTATCATTGATAACACACAATCAAACTTCAAATCTGGGACAGATTTTCATTTACAACATTCAGCCATTTCACATTGTAGATTGTAACATGTTACTTAGGTGTGTTGTACCTGTGCTCCTCTCCCTCCAGCAGTTTCCTGTATGCGTTGATCTCCATATCTAGGGCAAGCTTCACATCTAACAGCTCCTGGTATTCACTGAGCTGAGCATTCATCCTCTCTCTCAGTTCGCTCATCTCTTGTTCTTTTCCTTCGTTGGCACGGCGGTGCTTCTCTCGCTCTGCTGACAGAATTTCCTCCAGCTCTCTGATACGATCCTCTGAGGCAGCTGCCTAAAAGCACACACACACACACACACACACACACACACACACACACACACTAGTGAATATATTTCATGAAGCTGAATAGGAGTACCTGTAACTGTCAGAGATGTGGATGAAGTCTAGATTTGTGTGTACAGGTGATCATTTAGTACCTGTTTCTGCAAAGCACTCAGCTGATATCCAAGACTCTCTATTCTCATACGGGACTCCTGCAGCTCCTCCCTAGCTGTGCTCATTGCCTTGTCATTGATCTCAGAGGACACCTTGGCATTATCCAGCTAGAAGGAGACAGACACTGTGAGAAAGGGTTTTTTGCACATCTTCCAGCAGTATGCAGCTGAACTGTTGAGCTGAGTGTTTCGCAGCTCGAGGACAGCAAACTTCCAGAGGTAAATTTTCAGCCTTCAATGGTACAAACAGATGAACATTTCGACATTACTGTGTCCTCATTACAATCAAAAATCAATCATTTTTTCCCCCTTGGAAGACTGTGTGAGAGTCAAAAGACAAGAGAAAAAAATTATTTGTTTCTCACCTTGGCCTGGAAGGTTTGCTCCAGTTCTTCCTTATAAAGAGACACTTGCTCATCATGTTGCCTCCTCAGGTCCTTGCGGGAATCACACAAACATGATTAATACTAATCCTCAAACAAAAGCTCCCCTGGGGACAACAACAGAACCATGTCACAGCTGTTGTCAGTTTCTCTGCTGAACAAAGATTACTGAGCTCACACAGGATATCTGCTCATTCATTTTTAGTTGTTTTCTGTCTTCAGGTAAGTATAAGGGGAGTTTATGAGGACCAAAGATTTATTATACAAAATTATATATAATATGCAAAAACGGATTACATGCTTTTATTAAAATTGAGACAATTAATATTTTTTACAGCCTGGTATTTGTTAAATTTTGGTTACTGTGTTTTAGCAGCCAAGCTAAACATGACCATACTTTGTGGTAACATGCAATCAGATGGTTGTACCTACATTTGTAATATTGTATAATGCAAAATCCCACTTCAGCACACTGAATTTACACACATTAGTGAGCACTGCCAAAACACAGGTTTAAAATTTCAAAACACATTTGCAATGTGCTGAGGAAAATACATTCATTGCGTTTCATCTGTGATTGACCGTTGCTCTTATAATATATTCATATGAACCCCATATTTGCATTCTTTGTCACTGATATTGTATATTTAAATAATTAGTTTCTATAGTCCAGCCCTATCACAGACATGACAGCTGCTGTAAACTCACCCCCTCACCTGTAAAGCTTGTGCTAGTTTCACCTCGAAGTCCTGTCTGACTCCAGAGTCCACCTCCACTATTCTCTGCTCCTGTCGACGCCGAGACTCACGCACCTCCTGAACACAAGGAGAAAGATCAGAATCAGAATCGGGTTTATTGCCAATTAAGTTTTTGGCCTTGGTGCCTAAAAATCAAACAAAAAATAAAGTACTTTTTAGAATATAAAAGATAGAATGATCTAAACAGTACAGGAATTATATTTACAATGTGTAGGACAGAAGATGGGCAACAGTAGGAAGTTGTTTTCACAAGTTTGGTCTATCTATTAAAACAATTATTCTGCTTTAGTGGCACACGTGGCTATTAGTGATTGCATTCTATTCTAAATACTCACACAAAAACATTTATGGTAGAAATGCTTATGGCAGAGAACACAATAGTGACCTGAAGGATAAATGATGGGTTTGAACAGAAAACATTAAAATATATTGAAACAATAGCCAACAAATGTTTTACTTTTGGTATGGACTTTAGTATGGATTTTAGTTTTAGCTCCAAAAAGTTTAAATTCACATCACATTATGGGTGGACAGCATGGTCTAAAAATATTTTTTTACCCTCACCTGCAACTGTGGCAGGTCACTAGCCACTAGCCCTTTTTAGTTGTCATCAACTACTACCAAAAAGTAGTCAACTGGTCGATTAATTGGGGCATATATCATACTCACCCAATAACAATGATCAATTCTCGTCAATTTCCTCCACCCTCCGAGGCAATAAGTAGGGTAAACACTGGAGCCCATTAACATGGGTTTTGTTTAAAAACAGTGGCAACAAAAAGTAACTATTCCATCCAGTTTCCCAAACTTTATTATTTGTATTTATTTAGGATATTTGAATATTTTTTTTCAAGTTACAATTCCAATGTCTGAATATTCTTAAGAATTCAAAGTCCATTGATATTGGTAAGGGTGTAATTACGATATATGAAATTGTGTCAAAATGGCAATATTATTGTTTATCGCGGTTATTCCTGGGACAATATATTATGTTATTGTGACAGACCTAACTACACATATGGTTTAACCACTAAAAAAAATCAAAATCAATTTATGACACATCTAATTAGAAGCAGGAATATCTTCTCTGCCAGAAGCACCTACTGCAATTCCACCACAAATGCCAGATGCAAAGTTTTCAAAAGTTTTTTTGTATAGTATAGTATGTTTTCTTATATAGATATTCACCTAACTGTATAAACTTAATGAGGAAACAATAAATGGGTAAATTCTTTGGACAAATTCCAAGCATCTCAATTTAATTAGAAGCTTTAATGCTATTATTTATTTAGAATATTACAAGCAAACAGGCAGCTTTATAAGAATATTTAAAAAAGCTAAATTTTTGAAAGAACTCAAAATAATTTACACTTGCCAGTTCAAAGATCAGAGGCTGCATGTCCCAGTAGAAATTGTGGCTATTCAGAAGGGTAATATTTTGGCGAAGAGCTAATGAGACCCACTCCCAGTTAGTAAATTGAATTCTAGTATCGTCTTCTCACATTTATAACAAAGAAAATCAGTTCAGAATTAAGTGAGCAACCGTCAATTTTGTTGTGATGTCTGTATCGCACACTGTTTACTAGCAGATTCTGACCTCCCCAATATGGCGACCGTGCAGACGCATAGAGGCGACATACAGTCGGCCAGTGACTTGCAATTTGCTCCGGCTGCCATAGTCAAGATGGCAGCGGGATTTCATCACCTTGTATCGTCCCTAATGTTAGTGAATCATAACATACTGGGTATGGAATTAATCTGGAGATATAGTTCAAGATGAGACCAAACATTTCTATGAATGTTTTTGAGATACAACAAAGGCTAAAATGTGCCCTGCAACTAGATAAACTTTGTTTTTAACCTAGCAGTTGTTCATTACTTGTGGCCTACTGGCTGGTTAAGAGGAATCAACAGTCAGTAAATAACATTCAAACATTGTGAATCACCACAACCATGAGAGGTCCTTGAGCATAGTCATAAATGTGCTAGATTGGTTGATAGTTGATCATGGAAGTAATTATTTGTGGCAGTCCTACACACCTTTCATTGCTTTTCACACATACTCCTTACCTCCTCAAACATGCTCTTCCTGAACTCCAGCTCTTCACTCAGGGATTGACAGCGGTTCTCCAAGTCTACGCGCATTAGTGTCTCTGCCTCCAGCTGGCGCTTGGCAACAGCATGGCTGTCCTCTGCCTAAACACCACAAAATGCCATAAGAAATTTTAGTACATGGAGACATAAAGTTAACTAACTGATCCAGCATGAGCAAGCTGTAGAAGAAAAGTTGAAAATATTTACGCGTGTATACAGTGGGATAAATGTTGATTTATTCTTTTATTCTGAAATTGGTTTGTTACCGTCCCCTGTGTATTGCTTAATAGGTACCACTTCTTTATATTGGGTCATAATCTTTGACATCATGTGGACTATTATTGTGTTGCAATGCTGGCCAATTTGGATGTGTAATTCCTACATATACAAATCTTCCCATTGTGGCCATTTTAACATGTGAAATGTTCAGTTTCTTTATATCCGTTTAATTTACACTTAATTGATTAGGAAATTGCTCTACTAAACAATCTCGCGTTGACACTGTCACCATTGCCACCAACATAAACATCATCATCCCACATAAGGTAAATATGAGGGGGTGTCCATTTCTCTCTCTCACAAAAAAATTGCTTTGAACAACAGAAAACCTTGCACCTTAGCCAGCAGGCTCTTGACATCTGCCAGCTCAGAAGTAAGAGCAGCATTCTGGCTTAGAGCTGTAGCAAGAGCTGCTTCACTCTTGTTCAGCTGGCCTTCCAAACCAATGGCCCTGGACACTGCGGCTGCAAGTTCACTGTCCTTCTTCTTGGCACTGGAACACATGGACAGAGGAAGAAGAAGACAGTTATTGCTTCAAATTGGCCATTGATCCTGCACTTCCGAGTGACTCTGGTGACTCTGCCCATATTAATATGATCTCAAACATTGTGACGTGTGATAATTGGGTGTACTATATCAAATTACCTGCGTGTGGCTTCTTCCAGTTCAGCCTGCGCCTTGCCCAAGTCTATCTGAAGCCTCGCTCTCTCTTTAGCAGTTTCATCCAAAACCCGTCGAGCATCAGCTAACTCAGCCTCATACAGAGCCTTCAGGCCAGTCACCTAAACAGAAGGACACACAAATTCATAACTTGGCTAGGTGAAAAAGATAAATAAATAAATAATAATAATAACAATAATAACGGGGAAGAAACGATTGTGGAATGGATTTTCAAGTAGTTTTCCAAGATGTGACGAGCTGCAACACATTTTGTATAATAAATACATTTTTAAAAAAAGATGTACATTAAATTATGACTAGAATTGGCTGGTAGGTTGTTCCAAACATCTTGGAGCTCTAACCACATATCTTCTGTGGATGTAGACTTCCTCAAATCCTTCTGTCTCTTCATGTAATCCCAGACACTCAATGTTGAGATCAGGGCACCCCAGTTCCTATGTTTTTGTGCATAGTTGAGTTGCTTGGCCTTGTTTCCATGTCGGAGGTATGGCTTTTTGGCTGCAACTCTGCAAGACCACTTCTGGCCAGACTTCTCCGGACAGTAGATGGGTGTACCTAGGTCCCACTGGTTCCTACCAGTTCTGAGCTGATGGCACTGCTGGACATATTCCAATTTCGAAAGGAAATAAGCTTGATGTGTTTTTCATCTGCTGTACTATATTTCCATGGCCAACCACTGCGTATACAATCCTCAACTTTACTCGTTTCTTTGTGCTTCTTCAAAAGAGCTTGAACAGCACATCTTGATGTCTTGTTGCTGTGCTCAGTCTTGCCATGGTGTATGACCTGTGACATGAAACTGTCTTTCACAACCTCACCTTGGTAGCAGAGTTTGGCTGTTCCTCACCCAGTTTTAAGGCTCCAACACAGCTGTTACCGTTTCAACCTACATGTGAAATTGATGATTATTAGCACCCCTTTGGTATAAATTAATTATTGTTTTGGTCTTTTTATTGCCTTTAATTGATAGCGACAGCTGAAGATAGACAGGAAAAGGGGCTGGGCTGCTGTAGCAAGGACTCGGTACATGGTTGCCAGCTCTACCAGGTGAGGTAACTGGGGGCCCACCTGTTTGGTTGATCTTAAGGCCCGGACACACCAACCCAATTATTGGCCGTCGTCGGACAGTCGGGCGAGGTCGGTGACTCGAGTCGGTTCGGTGTGTCCCGTGCTGTCATCAGTCGGCGTTCATTTTGGCCGATTCGACATGTAGAATCGGCCAGTGGCCATCGGTCTCAATGACCAATCTGATTGGTGGAGTGCTAGCCCTTGACAAGCGAATCAGCGAGTGCACGAGAAAACCGGAAGTGACGATGGTAAACATACTATGCCAACGCCAGTATCTTGTTATTATTAGCCATCGTATTTTCCGTTCAGCGAGTAATGACAATAACAATCCTTCTTGACTACTATCAACACTCTCTGATGAAAACAAGGACTGACGAAAGCGTGCTCTGTGTTTACTAGGTCTAGAGTGATCCGTCATTTCCGGTTTTTTTTTTTTTTTTTGGGACGACAACACAGATTAGCGCCGCCTGCTGTTATGGGGACGTATTACGCCTCGCGCACACGCAGAACGTACGCTCCAGTCGGCTTCGGTTTGGTGTGTTCGGTGGCATTTTTTTGACCGACTCGGGGAGACGGGAGCCGACTGATCAGTCCGACTGCTTTTCTGCCGACGGTTGGCTGTCGGGTTGGTGTGTCCTGGCCTATAGACCTAACTATAATCCTACAAAATCCCTGACTTTGTAGTCAGTGTACCTATAAGAATTGATGCTGGTTTAAAGGCAAATCACCAAATATTGACTTTGATTTTTCTGTTGTTCGCTTACTTTGCATTTTGTAAATTGATAAAAAATAAACAATTATAATTTTTTATAGCATTTTTTCACACATGCCTAAAACTTTTGCAAAGTACTCTATATACATGCACACACGTGCATATATATGAATTTGAATATACCAATTGGAACTACTGTATGTGTTTGTTTGTTGGATCGGATCACACGGGCCAGTCTTCATTCGTCACATGCATCAATGAGCCTTGGCCACCCATGACCCTGTGTCTGGTTCACTGCTTTTTCTTTCTTTAACCACTTTCGATAGGTAATGATCCCTACATCCGAATTTGGCTCTTGTCAAAGTTGCTCAAATGGTTTCTTTGCCCTTATTTCCTGCTTCTTACATATCAACTTTGAGGACAAAATGTTAATTTGCTGCCTGATATCTATATATATATATCTATAGATATATATCCAATCAGTCCACAAGTAGCTGGTCAGACACAGGAGTACTTTCTGTGCAACTCATTCCACCAAAATCCACCACAGAGCGCCAAGGAAGTCATTCCTGCCTGTGTTCATCAAACTCTACAACTCCTCCCTCAGTCATTAAAACTTGAAATGTTACTGTAGTTAATGTGCAACAATCTTATTCATTACTCAGTACACTTCTGTCTGCCATATACTGTGCATATATTCTTCCATATACTATCATATATTGTATTATAAATATCCATTAACAAATTATAAGAAACGTTTCTTGTTATAACGTGATGAGTCCGTGTGTCGTAACACATGTACGTCAAAACATGAAAAACATCTTGCTATAACAAAAAAAACTTGTCACTTTATAACGTGACACTAATCCGTTTTTTTCTTTTTCTAGCGTGGGAGCAATATTAGTAGTTATTAATTAGTATTACCACAGACGTAAGGGCGGTAGTAAACAGCGCAAACTAAAGTACCATAAAACTTTAATTAAACGTTACTGAAACAAGTTATAACGTTAGTGCTTCACAATAATCCACGTTATGCAAGTTTTGAAGTCAAGTAAAGTACCCTAACTAAAGTTACATATAATATGTTGTATTTATAGATTGGCGCGCATAACCACCCGCTCAATCCTCCCGGTCCAGCTACATTTAAACAAATATAAGGAAATGCCATAGCATGTATTATTGACGTCAACAAAGTTGTTAACTAAGTGACTTTACATATATGTCATCTATGTTCATAAATTAGAGCATTTCGCCGTCAAATTAATATTTGAGCAAATAGTCAGTTTACACGTTTTAATGGCCAATTGCCATTATTAAAGGTAAGTAACGAGTCATCCTTAATCATTAGTATTGCTCTGAAATTATCTGTATCGATTCTTCAACGACATGTGTACAAGTATTTTAGCTTGATTCACGGAAGACTTGCACCGTAAGTGATCTTGTGTGGCTGGTCTACGGATGGGCGCAAACAGTTGAAGCTGGACTCACCTCTCTAGTAGTCACCTCTTCTTTCTCAGACACTTTGACCATTAGCCGGTCATTCTCCAGTTCCAATGCCCGGACACGGTCGATATACACCGCGAGCCTATCGTTCAGGTGCTGCAAATCTTGTTTCTCTTGTAAGCGAGAGATCCGGGTCGGTGAAAGAGGTGTAGAGGCCGCCGACCGGCCAGCTTCACGACTTGGGGTAGCAGTCGCCATAACGGTTCTTTCAAGAAACCCGAGATTGCTTCACCACTCAGTGAGCAATATAAAACAAACCTACGACTGCTGTCGTCGTTAAATGAGGATGCAAACACTGATTTAGCTTTTTAATTGAAGATATGATGTCAATCAATGAGCAGTAAGCTCAAGCAATGTCTCAGCGTTGCCTGAAACAGTGATGTGATCCAAGATGGCCGACGCCGCTAACAGGACCCAGGACCGCGCCAAAAGCTGAGAATGCTTCCTGTCTCGCAATGGATGATGGGTGTATGGGACAGAGAGAGGGAATAGACATCTAGTAGAAATGTATTGAAAGCTCCCAGAGTTCGTGCGTACAACCTCCCAGCGCTGTTAAATATCATATTATCGTCATGACTTATTTTGTTATTTAAAGGAGAGCCCATACAACACCCAACTAATTTTCTCTGGTGTCAAGTGGTTCGTTTGTTATTTAAAACGTCTCTCTCGTCGTACCCCTTAATACAACCAGAGCCCGTCTACATTCTCTGATACAACCATAGTTGGTACTGACAATATAAAAAAAATTGTCAATATACCGTTCAGACCATGTGACCAAACTTTATCCTTGGTATAATGTATAATCCTCCTTCCTGTTTACACTGGTTCTTTCATTTCGCCTACTTTATTGTACAATTGCTATCATATACAGGTCATAACCACGAGCTCAGAAGTTCATTTTGAATCCAGGAGGGTGCGCAGTTTCTTTTCTGTTTTATTTGTTGTTATGCACTGTTTAAATTTTTGTACTGCTCCTCCTAGTTCTGACCATTGAACACGGAAAAAGTGGGAGTTCATCACCTGATTCAAGACGTGAAAGTTTTTTTTCTTATAGGCAATCAGGGACGATGTCTCCCGTTCAAGTATTCATTCAAAAGATTCACTGTGTACTTCTTTGATAAAAAGGTATGATGAGTTATTTAACTATGATGAGTCAAATACCATTAACATCTGCATGCCATTACAATTAGTCTGATTTCACATCAGCAGGCAGACCAGCACATCCTTAAAATATGTATTTCAATTTTAAGAAGGTGATTGTCATATTTATATCCAGACTTAACTGTAATCACACCAATGTATTGCCTTCCATCTGTGAATGTAACAAATTAATCTGCTTTGGCTCAATTATAGAAGACCAATATACATGAAAAAGTCTTAAGTCTATGAAGACCTAAACTGTTTTATACACTAATTTCTAGCAATATACTGGAAATTATTGTTATGCCAGACACATCCATACAGTCTTAAGCAATCCTTTACACCAAGCCCTGCCATAAAACCTGCCATTAAGAAACATACATTATGTGGAGTAGTGTCCATTAATTTACATGAAATTGCAGTGTGCAATGGTGACATTTTGAAACATGTTCGATTGGGATTTTTCAAAAAAAGAGGGAAAAAAAAGGCATAACATTTTCAAGTGTCGAGATGGAATTTGTTCCACGGACCCGATGACTGCTGCAAAATGAGCAAAAGCAAAGTAGAAGACAGACTATCAGTCTTGATTTTGTAGTTTAGAAAACTTTTATTAAGAGACAAATTAGTCTTTCTTGGCGGCAGCCTTCCTCATGGCAGCCAGTACATTGCTCAGCTCCTCTCGCTTTCTCTTGGCCCGAATGTGAGTACCAATCTGGGGAAGAAACACAGTAACTTTAGACTGACCTGTCATGTTATACTTGCTTCAATCTCAGACCGCTGACTCATCGTGATGCCACTTAATCTGGCCAGATGATTAAAACTCCATAGGTACAAGGACTACAAATATGTACAAAGGCAGAAATATACATACACTCCAGATTTCTGAAAGCTGTGTATAGGTTTCTCAGTCACTGCAGTAGTATGCATGTGTAAAAGTATTTTACTCCCATACTTAAAGAGAACTTAATGGAAAAAATGCTAGAGATGCACCGATATCTGCCTTGTTGATTGACAGTGGCCTATCAGTAAATAAGATGCTTTTCACCAGTATCAAGGCAGATGTTTTAAATACTGTGTCACATCAATTTTGCACTGGTTAAGTATTGTCGGTTATTTCCAACTCTAATATTGGGGAAATAAACACCCTTTTCCCAGCACTGACACAAATTGCATACAAATACTGATGTGCTCCAGATAGCAGCACACTGTCCTGCTCTGCGTCTCACAAGTCTGTTTCCTTGGCACAAAAAGACGAAAAAATAAAAACATCGGTACCGGCTCAGAATTTCCATAAATGCTGTGGCTGTTTAGCTGTTCAGGTTTACACTGGTAAGTGCCTTTCAAATCTCTGACAGAAATAACAACTCACCCTCTTCTTGATAAACTTGAGGGCTCTCTTGTCCTTTGACACCTTCAGCAGCTCCATGGCTCGTCTCTCATACGGAGCAAAACCACAAACTTCACGGATCATGTCCCGAACAAACTTGCTGTGTTTGGTCAGACGCTGCAGAGGAAAGACAAGGTATTAGACGATGCTTAAACATAGTCCTCATTATCTGAAATATATGATCAGTTCAAACTCTTAACTAGTGGAAATTATGGTCAATTGAGGTGGACAATGTTTTAAAGATAATTCCCATCTTCAGTAGTACATTGACACTGAAAAAAGGTCTTATGACAATGTCTAACCATTTACTTTGTCTAAAAAAAAAGCTTATAAAAATTTAAATAAATGTTTTTATTACAAATATTCAACCAGATTTAGTTTCACCCTGCATAGCCAACACTGTAAATTTCTGACCATACCAAGTAGTAAGGTAAAGGTAACATTTAATAATTGAGCTCTATTCATATCACACTGTGACTCATTAAATGTGACAAATATCAACCATGAGGTTAAAACAAGTTCACAGTGATTACTGGGCCTACACCACACCAGTAAGGTACACTATATCTGAGTTACTTATATAACACTGTAGCATATTGTGCAATTTTTTTTTTTATTTACGGCATCTGAGGATAGGATTATACAATAGGTTTAATTTAAGATGTTTAAAGACCATTCTGAATGCATTTTAAGACCCATTTAACATCTGTACTGAAAAGTTTTATCTAAGATATAAGAGGAAAAATCTGTTTTGTTTTGTCCTTACACTGATCAATACACACGGTTTTCCAAAAACACATTTAAAAGCAAACCGAAAAAAACATCTTTATACATGTAACGTTAACTTTAACAATCCAGCCATTTAAGACCTGTCAAATTCAGATTGAGACCGATTTTAGACCATGTCCCTGCGGACACACTCGACACAGCATGACAGATGTAATAAATACAGACTAATGCATATGAGACTTAAACTATTCAAACTTGTCCTTAAACTTACTTGGAGTCATTCTCTCAAATTCAGTTTCATGCAACTTTATGCAAACTGCAAGATACTTGTAAAATTTGTTTCATATGAGGGTGCAATAAACATTCATATACTGCCTGTTGTCAAACTAGGTTGCTGACTATTGTAATTCACTATGATACTGATATTTAAAGCTGTGAGACCAGCTGTATGCTTTTAAAATAGCTGGCAGGAAAAAAGACTGCAAAACTGTGGTGCTACAAGACAAGGAATGACAACCCCTGGTTACTACCTGTCATTACAGTCACTGAACAGCAGATACTCACCCCGCGTCGGCGGCTGTGTTTGGGAGCAGTCACATTCTTAGTGACTGGATGGCCTTTGTTAAGGCCAACAGCCATGGGGTAGCGAATAGCCATATCTGTAGAAGACCACACAGAAAAGTTCACAAACAACAGATTTTAGTTAGCTGCTTGGCCACTAAGTAGGGACGTCGTATCCTCTTTCAAGCCATCATTGCTGCCTCCAAGTGGCATTGTGTTCATTAAAGATCCCCACGTTCTCCTGGCTTACTGTTGTTTTAAAACTCAACTGCCAACAGCAGCATATTTGACAGCACTGTATTAGAACTTGAAACTGAATACTGAAAAAGAGGGTAACTGTTACAACTTTTAATGGACACATTTTCTACTTAGTAGTTGCTGCAGTGTGTTCAACGAACAGACCGGAGAGGCTGGTTAGTCACCGCTAACGCCGCTAAAGGTTTTCATTAATTTACTTTGTTGTAGTGTAACAATATCGGAGATATATATTAGGTGAAGTCAATAGATTCAATTGAAGTCAGTTTATTATGTACAAATCGACGGATGACGGAGATTATACATGGCTTTTAGCTGATAGTTGTCAACATCAAAATCATACCTGTTGTCTGTGATGGCGGTCAAGCCGGAAGGACTCTTGGTTGAGTGGAGCGTTGTAATGAAGGGGGTTGACCCGGAAGACACTTCTTTCACGTCGGCAGAGCAATGCCCCTGCCGGCCTGGAAGAGATACTGTTTTTTGTTTTGAGGGTCCAAGCATTGACAGTATGGGTCCAAGCAACAATAATGTTGAAACAGTTATTTTTTTTGAAGAATATTTTTTTGGATAAAAAAGTCCTTCCTTTTCAAGTCCAAGTTATACTGTCTATGGTCCAGTCAACTGTATAAAAAAGAGAAGTTGCATAACAAATATAACCCTACATGACCCTACAAGAGAAACCAAATACAAAAAATAACAACAATAATAATAAGTTTGCATGAATTAATAGCTATGATTAATTTTTTGTTACATTGTTTGAAGGTTGATGTAGTATTATAGTGAAAAAGTGGAAAAGGGTTGACAGTCACTGTGAGTACAGGCTGTTGTGCTTTGATAACCATTGCTAAGTATTCAAATGTAGGAAAGTTTCCAAAAGAACACTGAGTGCAGCTAAAACTACTAGAGAAAATAGTGGCAATCCCACACCCTCTTTTGTTTTCTCTACTGGAGCATTAAAAGTTGCTTCAGTTAGAAATAAAAATTTACGACCATGTTCAAAAATAAAAATTATTAATTTAAAACCATTTGCTGGAGAGGGATCTAATAATATTCATATTCTGGAGACGATTAACACGGTATTTCTTTGTGGTATTGAAACTATAACAGTGATCAAGAACCTGTCAGTATTCACAACTGTTGAAGCGTGGTAGGAGTATTTTTATGCAATGTTGTTGCAACAAAATTGAACTACGACTGGTTCCTACATGACATGGATGTCAGTCATCAGTCACAAGACTTTAGTGTGAGGGTAAGGCATTGTGCTGTGTGAATTAGAGGAATGTCTATGGCATCATATCCCCTTTGTGCATGCGCCAGCGTTGTAGTCTGCCGAAAAT